GCTAGCCTCGGGCCTCTGCCCTTGCAGCCTGGCCTGCTGCCTCTCACAAGCCTCCGTCCTTCCTCGGCTTCTATCCTGTGCTCCCCCTAGCCCCAACCTTCCTCACCTGCCCTGTTCTCTCTTTTTCCTTCCCTTCCTCCTGCCCCTTCCAGTCAATTTGGGCCTTCCTGGGGCCCTCACCTATCCCTTACCTCTTGGTCAGCCTCCCGCCTGCTTCTGCTAGCCACCTGGGCTGGACCTGGAGCCAGTGTGATCTGGCTTTGGGAAGGGACTTCGAGGTCAGCACCGTCTGCGCCCCCCCCCAACCCCCAAGACTAACTGCTGCAACTATGGCGGGCTGGTTGCAAGCAGTGGCGGTAGCATAAAGGGTGTTGGGCGGTGGGTCTAGCCTTCTAGAGGAGGTGGGCAAAGGTGCTTTTTAGTTACCCGAGGAGCTCAAACAAGTTTGTTTCTTGACTGTTCTGCATTGGTCTCTCACATGTTTTCTTTGCAGCACAAAATCCTTTTCTGGGCCTGTGGAGCAGAGGCTGGGGCTGCGGCCTGGAGGGCTCTACTTTCTGCAGGGTCAAGGGTGGCTTACTGTGGGTCATGGTGGCCTCTCATCCCTAAAGAAACTAACTAACCATTGCCCCAGCCTGTGGCCACACGATCTTTGGCCTGTGGAGGGGGTGTGCCCCTCAGTGCTGGCATGTTCAGCCTCCCAGGGACCCGAACTGCTGTCTCTAAGAATTTAGTTCTTATCAGAAAGATGAGCCTATGGGCCATAGAGGGACTCTCCAGGGTCCCTGACCTGGATAGAAAGAGTTGAGGCCTGGTACGGGACTTTAGGCTTTCTCTTGAACTCTGAGGTGCCCAGGAAAGTCTGCACTTGGAGGACTGGGTGACCCTGGAGAGCAAGGCTCACAGGAGTGCCAGCAGTCCCATTGCACTAACCATTGAATTATTGACCTGGACCCTGCTCAGCGTGGCCTGGGAGTGGGGGTTGGACGGGTGGAGCTGGCTCTGCTGCTTAGGGAGGGGTGGCCAGCTGGGGGGGCAGGGAGGTTGGCGACTGGTCCCTTTGGATGCACATGCTCCACGGTGGGTGGGGTGGAGCTATCTGCCATCTTGGCCAGTGCTTGGAGGCCAGAGTAGGAGTGGCAGTGGTGATGTGCCCTTGGGCTGGCCCCACCCCCATTATGTCATAACAGGGAAACCATGTCCAGTGTCCAGTGTCCAGCACTGGCCCTTGCTGCTGTGGGTGTGGTCAAACTACAATTGCGCCTATGGGTGGGTGGTCCTTAAGGGTTTCTTACAGTTCAAAGCCACCGCGGGGTGCCTTCCTGGGCCCCATTGAGTTTCTCCACACTCAAGTGTTTTTTTTTTTTTTTTTCACCTCTGCAATTCAAGTGTTCCTGTTTTCGCAGGTCAAATAAATAAAGAGAAAACTGCCTTTCAAATCTCAATTGCGTTTTCAGTTAAGAGATGATAGGTGTCTTTGGTGGAGATGAGCGTCTTGGGAACATGGGTGTGGCTTGGGACGTCTAACTCAAAGCCTGCATCTCTTTTTCCAGATACCAATGGGGATCCCAATGGGGAAGTCGATGTTGGTGCTTCTCATCTCTTTGGCTTTTGCCTTGTGCTGCATCGCTGCTTACCGCCCCAGCGAGACCCTGTGCGGTGGGGAGCTTGTTGACACGCTTCAGTTTGTCTGTTCGGACCGCGGCTTTTACTTCAGTAAGTAACTCCAAACACATGGATTGGGGGAAGGGAAGGGTCAGGCCTCCCTGGGTGGGGTGACAGTTAAGATATACTGGTTTGGCCTTGGATTTACGTTACCCCCTCCCCCTTGGGGAAGGCTGTGGTCTCACACTCAAAGTCCGATAGTTAATAAAAGTAAAACCAAATGTGATTGAGAGTGTTCGTGCAGCTTGGGCTATACAAGGGAAGAGCTGGACCCTTACCATACAAATTCAGGGGTTTCCAGAGCTACAACACGGGGTGCTTATCTGCTTTCAGTATTGCTCATGCTTCTCTTGATTTCCCAGCCGGGGGAGGGGCGGCGCTGGGCATGGGTTCCCTGCTTACAGAAGAGAGCGATGGGGAACACCCTGGTGGGGCATGCCTGGAAGGGCATGGGCACCAGAATGGATGACTCTCCTTGCTGGCATGGGCCATCCTATCTTCCTCACCTGGTCCTGGACTCGCAGCCTCCTCCTCTGACTTCTACCTACCTTCCTGTGAACTGCTCTGAGCGCACTCCCACTTCAAACCTCTGGAAACCACTCCTGCTCCTGATCACTCTGAAGCCCCCACCACCCGCCTTCTCTGCACCCTCTGGCTCTGCGGGACCAGCCCTTGTTCCAGGAGTCACTCCTGCACAGAGGGGGCTTCCAGAATAGGAGGGTCCAAGGTGGAGCCTTCAGTGGCTCTACCCCCCAACCCAGCCACAGACCTGAGTGTGTGGGGGAGAGAAGGAAGACGGGAGAAGAGAAGGGAGTTGGTTTTGGGTGCCTCACTCCTCCCCTCCCGTCTTGTTCTCTCCTACCCTATCTTCCCTGTCTCAGCTCAGTGCTGGGGGTTGGGGGTGGGCCCCTCAGGCTCAAGGTGGCACCAGGCCAGGGCCCCAAGTCCAGGGACCACACCTGTGTCCACCATGGCCCCCTTATGGGGCTCACCCTCTCCTCCCTGCTTTCCAAACCACTCCAATGTGGCCTCTGGTCTGCATGGAGTTTGTGGGACAGAAAGGCTATGCCATGTTAGTTGCCAGGCAGGAGGCACCTAAGGCCAGGGACTGGTCCTGCAGCATGCATTTTCATTTCTCCTTTCTGGGCATCTCGGCTCACCTGGCTCACACTTCTACCTCATTCCCGCAGGGTGACCTAGTGGGAGGGCAGGGGTAGTTTCTTCCTTCTATAGCCTTCCCTAGGGGCTAGGGAGGCCACCCCAATGGGTGCTGACCCCAGTTGATGCTGACTAAAGTGCTTTGTTCCTGTGGAACTTCCAGGCAGGC